TTAAATTCAAAATATGTGAAAATAAACAAGCCTTTTACATGTACATAAGAAAAGTATTAAATATGAAAGATTTTATTAAAACAAGAAATTTATTAAATAAAGCTAAAAATATGGGGTGGTATGATTATGAATATATGAATTTAAACACTAAATTAAATAATGAATATTATTATAAATAATTAATAGAAATTGTGACAGTTAAACACTTGGATTTGTTAAATAAATAAACAGTTTAGAAATAAAAATAATTTTTATAAACAAAGAAAATGAAACAAAAACTATTTTTTCTCATACCTGCTTATTTCCTTTTATCATTATCACTTAGTTTCATAACTAAATACTTTATTTCCGAAAATGGATATAATTTTAAATTTCCTGTTTTTAAATCTGGTATTACCAATTTGATGCATGCTATCTGTTCTTTTGTTTATTTAAAATTAACAAATGATAAATTAAGTTTAAATGAGTCTAATAATTATAAATATTATCTTACTTATATCATACCTTGTTCATTTATTGGAGCCTTTGATATAGGAATTTCATTATTTACTTTAAGATCAGTTGAATTGGCTTTTTACACAGTTTTAAAATCATCCACACCTGTGTTTATTTTAATAACAGGATTTTTACTAGGAACTGAAACCATTTCATCATTTTCATTCATTTCTGTTATAACTATTTCTACAGGAACATACTTAGTAACGGTTAAACCAACAAATACAGTAAAACACCAAGTGTATTTATCAATCATTTCTGCACTTGTATCGGGATTTAGATGGTCATTTATACAATTTATATTAAATAGAAGTAAAATTGATCAAAAAAGTATATTTAGAACGATTCAAAATTTATCAGCTTTTACATCAGTATTTTTGTTAAGTGGATCTTTATTGATTTTTGAAGGAGCTAATGATATACTGAGATCTGAGTTTTTTAATGGACCATTCAATATTTTAAAGAATGTTTTTTTATTAGCAATTTTAGGCACATTTTCATTTTTATTAATAGCAATAGAATTTTCAATCATTGATATAACATCAGTTCTATTTTTAAGCGTATCATCAATATTTAAAGAATTAATCATTGTAGGAATATCGATATTGAGAAAATCAACATGTATGACTAAACTAAATTATATTGGAATATGTATATCTATACTGGGACTTATAAGTTATAATATTCTTAGATACAAAAAATAAACCTAATTTGCTGATTTATTTATTTTTATTAATCAAAAAGAAATAAAAAGATGGATAGTGAAGAAGAAAATGATAAATTAAATAAAATAAATTTGCAATTAGATCAAGCAGAATTAACTAGTAAGTCTAAAGAGAGAGTAAGAAAAGCTTTATTGTTAAGAAAATCAACAAGTATGTTTTCAATTTTTGACTCAGCTGATTATATAAAATCAGCAATGTTATTTGAAGAGTTAGCAGAGGAGTGTAAAGATGATAGAATATCAAGTGCAACATTTTATAAAGAAGCAGCAGAAACATTCATAAAAGATAATAAAGAATTTTCATTATGGAAAGCATCAGAATGCTATTATAAAATATATGAATTGTTTGTTAAAGATATGAGAGATGAAGCATCAGAGTTTTTACAACAGTCATGTATGTTATTAGTAAAAATAAAGAGTTTTGAAATAGCTGGTATGAGATACATAAAAATAGCAGAGTTATATGAAATGGATAAAGTAAGTTTAGCAGTTATTAACTATAAAAGAGCAATAGAATCTTATTCGAAAGTTACAAACTATAAAAGCAACATATATTTAGTAAAGAAGAGATTATTAAGTTGTTGTATTTATCATAAAGACATAAATAGAGTGATAGAAACACTTAAAGAGTATAATTATGATTTCAAATATAGTAAGTTATGTTATTTACTGATGGTTTATTTAAAAGGAGATTATGAAATGCTTAAAGAAGAAGAATTAGACACAGAAGAAGAAAGTGAAGTATTAGAAGCTATTTTATATAAAGAACCAGAAGATTCAATTGAGATAGTTAAGAATTTTATTAATGAAAATGTTTTTAATGATTTATCAAATTCATTATTTGAATTATTTTTAGAAAATTATCAATTATCGAAGATTTGTTAATTAAATTCTATTAAATCAATTTAGTTAATTTAATTTTCATTAAATTAAATTGGTTATTTTAAAGTTATTTTCATTAGTTAATAGAGGGAATTACGTAATTTAATAATCTATTTTAAAGATTATTAGGAAGAATTTCATAAAAACTTAATGAGATTTAAAGTAAGAAAGTTTATTTAAATTTTCAACTGGTTTGTTATTTTCTTATAATAATTTTTCTATTAAAAATTTAATAAAAAAATTATTATAACCCATTAAATTTAATGGTAAAGAAGATTAAGAAACTTAAAGATGTTAATGCACCAGTAAGACCATTGTCTGCATATATGTTATATGCACAGAAGAGAAGAAAGGAAATGGCAGTAGAAGAAAACAATCTAATAGCAATGAAAAAAAGTACTGAAATTGTATCTAAAATAGCTGAAGAGTGGAGAGAGTTGGAAGAGGATGAAAAGAAAGAATTTAGAGAAGCTGCTTCAGCTCTTAATGAACGATACAAAGTTGATTTAGAGGCTTATAAACAGACTGCGGAATATGCAGACTTCCAAAGAAAAAAGAAGGAGCAAGAAGCTATTTCTGGTGAAGATTCTAAGAAATCTAAAACGTCAAAGAAAGAGAAGAAAGCAAAGAAAGTCAAAAAAGTTGAAAAGGAAAATAATGTTCATGATGGTTCTGATTCTGGTATTTCAGAACAACTTTGAATAAATTACTAAACAAAATTATTTTTTTAATTGATGAAAATTTTTTTACTTAAAATTTTTTAGAATCATGACAATCAAAAAACTTAAAGGAGGATCTTTTAAAACTTTAGATTTAAACTTTAAATTACTGGAAAACATTCCATTTAACAATCCTACACCTATTCAGAGAAAAACATTACCAGATATTTTAGATGGGAAGTCTTTAATGGTTATTGCTAGAACTGGTAGTGGAAAGACACTGTGTTATTTAATACCTGCTATTGAAAGAGCTTTAGAAGGTAAGAATTCTTTGATATTGTTGCCAACTAAAGAGTTAGTTATTCAAGTAAAAGGATTGTATAAGAAATTGACTAAAAAATTAAAACATGAAGGAAAAATTGATATTATGACTTTGAAGAGTGATTTTGATGCATCTATTTATAACTTTTGTGCAGTTGATGAATTTGATCGTATTTTAGAAGAACCTTCTCTTAATGAACATTTTGAAAAAATTAGTGAGAAGTTAAACTGTCAAAAAATTTACTTGTCTGCTACTTTACCAAATGATCCAATTGATATGAAAATGATTATGATTGAGACTAAAATACCAGAAACAATTACACACTCTTTTTATTATGTTCCATCCGACTGTAAGGAAGCGGCATTACTTAATTTGATAGATAAGAACAAAAGAACTATTATTTTTACTGCTACTAGATATAGTGTGGATCTTATTGTTGCTGTTTTGGAGAAGTATAACTATGAAAGTAAAGGAATATACAGTTCTATGGATGACGAGGCAAGACGCTCTCATTTTAATATGTTTATTCAAAAACAGATTAATTTTTTAGTTGTAACTGATGTTGCGGCAAGAGGATTGACATACCAGAATTAGATGTGGCATTTAGTTATGATCTATCCGATGACAAGACATTTGTTCATAGAGTGGGTCGAATTAGAGGAATGGGTGAATCTATTAATTTAGTTACATATTCTGATGTGTTTCATTTTTTTAATATCAGAGAAACACACTTTCCTAATATAGAAATAGGAAAAATTCCTCAAAATTTATTAGATCAGTATAATTTAATTGAATTTTCGAATCTTAGAGCTACTGCTCTCAGAGGATATAATAAATGTTTGGAGTTTAGATCTAAAGTTGTAATTCCGTCTGAGATTAAAGATGAAATAAAGAAGATAAAGATTCACAGTAAGTATTGTAAAAATGATACACTTGCTGAAAAAATAAAAGAGATGTGGATACATAAAAGTAATAAAAGTAAACCAGTTAAAGAAAAAGTTGATTTATCAAAAAAATTTCATGATCAATTTTATATTCCCAGAACAAAAACTGATAAAATCACTTACGAGACTTCTTTTGGTATAAAAAGAAAAGATTAATAAATTTTAATTAAATATTCTTTTTCTTTCTGTATTCTTCCATTTCTTTAATTTGTTTTTTCAATTCAATTTCATCTTCTTCGACTGCTTTAAAACTGTCAATCATTTCATCATAAAGGCTTTCTGATTTAGCAAAATCTCTTGCTTCTTGGAATTTCTTAGAAGTTAAAAGAATTTCTATTTTATACTTTTTTAGATCAGGTATTCTATCTATGCACCTCTCAACGTATTCAATATACTTAGTTTTATAACAAATTGATATTAACATTCTATCTACATAATCACTCATTGTATTTGTCTTTAAGTAATAATTGATTGCTTCATCATATTCATTATTCATATAGTAACAATTTCCCAAATTAACATATAAACTTCCTATAAATGGATGGTTATTAATTAACAAGGTTCTCTTAACTTGAAGTAATAATCTAATAGCATTATCAACAAATCCTTTCTTAGCATTAGATATAGCTAAGTTGTTAATAGCAAAGTATGATTTTGAATGTTTCATACAAATATCAATAGAATCATCTAATCTTCCTTCCTGAATCATCAGATGTGATAAACAAAGTGAAGAAAAAAGATCATTACTGTTTGTAAAATAAGCTAAAGATTTTGATCTTTCAGTATCCATTAAAGAATAAGCTTCCAACATTGGAAACCCGCCACACTTATTGTTATTAAATGCTATCTGATATTTAGCTTCTTCCAACTCTAATGTTTTCATTTTGTCCCAATCCTTCTCTATCAAATATAAATTATATTTTAAGTAATTTTCCTTTTTAGGATCTCTATTTGAATTTAAAGCATCTGTAAACATTCTAACCGCATTAAATTCATCAAATTTTTTACTATAAAGTACTCCTAAATTATTTTCCAAGCTTGTTCTATCAAATACATCACTATTTAAATATTCTTCCAATAATTCGATTCCTTTTATACACACTTTTTCACACGCATCAACTACTTTAAAAATAGACTTAATTTCTGATGAACATTTGCTGTAATCAAAATTAAAGTTAAATTTTTTCAAAGCAATTAAAGCATTATGATCAAATATTGCTGCATAGTGATCTTTGGTATTAAGTTTAGTAATGTCAACAGGTGTATCATTAATTTTAGAAAGATTCAAGTAGGATGGTAAATAATTAGAATCTGCATTTAATGACTCTTTATAATAATAAGCTGCATTATCATACTCACCCCTTAAATGATAAATTTTTCCTATTGAATAATCAATTTCAGCTGTATAAATTTCAGAGTTGTCATTCTTTAAAGACAATAAAACATTCAATTCATCTTCAGTAAATTTTAAATTAGCTAATATCACGTCAATTGATTTTTCATCTTCATAAGTTTCACTTTTTCCAATTCTATAAAGATAATCTTGAGAACAAACTTTCGAGACATCAACCTCTTTCCATTTTTTAGAATCAATAAATGAGCATAGAATTGTGTCATTAGCAGCCTCAACTTCTTCAATTTCTCTTAACTTTAAGTTGCATAGATTTATTCCTTTAGTGTAGTTTATTTTGGAGAATTCAAATTTTGCATCATCATATGCTTCTGCTTTATAGTAGTGAAATCCTTTCAGTATTGAAACACGAGGATCTTCTGAGTTTTTTAGCTTTTTAAGTAAGTTAGAAGTGTCTGTGTTTCTATCTTCATAGATTGCACACAACAGTATTAAAGGTTCTTTATTCTCTTCTTTGTCATTTAAAGCATTTGTCAAAGCCATATGCAATAATCTAATTGCTCTTTCATAGTTGTCTTTGCATAAAAGACCCAAATCTTTTAATTCTTCAGTTGATGCATTATATTGAATTAAATCATTGCAAAATTCATTGAATGCTTCATCAGATTCTGGAATATCTAATAATGTAAAGTTTGATTTGTTCATTGATAAAATTATTATAAAAAATTTGATAAAAATCATTTTTATAAAACTAACTAGCTTTAATCAAATTCTTAACCAGTTTTATAAAAATTTTTATAAAAAATTTTAAGCCCATGTTATACGTTGAAATAGGAAGACTAGTTGCAGCAAGAAATCTTAAAGATAGACATAATAAAGCCATAATTACTGGAATAATTGATAATGTGTTTTTTGTTGTGTTTAAACAGGATAAAACTTATGAGATTGTTAGAGCAAATGATATTGTTTTAGAAGATAAAGTTTATGACTTAAAAGATCTGGAGAATGATAATTGTGAATTTTACAACTTATCTAATGTAAGACAAACAAACGACTTTGATAGATTTATTGAGAGAAAAACTAAAGAAATTGGTGATAAAATTGCAGCAGAAAATGGTCTTTATTATTAAATAAATTGAATGAATTATTTAATAGTTTATTTTTTGTGATAAATTTTTTGAGTGATAAAAATTACATTATTGGATTTATTTTTATCATATTTTTTATTAAAATTAATAAAATTGAGATAAATGACAGTTTAATACAAATCTTTAATTAGTTCAAAATATAACCTTGTTGGTTGTATTTAATTTTTCTTAAGTATATAATTTTTTTAATAAAATTAACCCATGGCACGTCTAAACGATGAGATTAACATTTCAAAGGATAGATTAAAACAACTTAATGATCTGATATATGAGTATTTTCATATAAATGGCTTGACAGAATGTGCAGAAATATTCAAACAAGAAAGTGGCGTAAAAATTGATAAATCAAATATCAGTGATTCATCAACTTTATTTATTTGGTACAGTAATTTTTTAAAGGAAGCCAATATTAGGAAAAGTCTTAAATCTATTCATAATATTGATCAAATTGAAACAATGACTATAGACAAAGTAAAATTTAATAATGATGAAATTAAAGTTTTAGATGAATCTTTACAAGAACTAGAAAAGGAAAAAAGAAGGTTTAAAGAATTGTATAAAAGTCTTAACTATCAAATTATTTGTGAAAATGAATCTAAACAAATACAAAAAAGTTCTTTAAAAATTGAATTTGAAAAGAATCTAAAAATTCCTGTTTTTAATGAGGTTGAAATGATCGATGATTATTTGATCACTTTGAGTGAGAATTGTATTTGTATAACAAATTTGAATGATGATTGCAAAAATTATCTAGGTTATTCTAAGGAAAAAATGAGAGAGATGTCTTCTTTTAATTGCAATAATATAATTTATGTTGGTGCTGTTTCTGATGATTCATTTATAAAAATATTTGCTTTAACTGAAGGAAATTTATTGTGTAGAAATGTTATTTCTACTAGAAAGAAAATATTAAAAATAATTTTGATTAACGGGTTGGTGTTTGTGCTTTCAAGTGATTCTATTGTTTCAATTTATACTATTGATGGTACATTAATTAAATGAAACATGTTCCCTAATAAGTTTATTCATGACATTATTGGATACAATACAAGAATTTTTGTTCTTGATAGTGTTAATAGATTTTCAGAAATTGATCTTGAAAGATTTACGGTTATTCATACGCTTTATTACCAAACATAACCTGTTATTTCTAGGAAAAAAGAGTATATATTTAGTGTTGAAAAAGCTATTAACGTTTATAAGAGTTCAATAATGGGTCAAGTGAGAATTTTTGATTTAAAAAATAATTTACTTGATTATGATTATTTTAACAAGAATTTGGCATATTTGACAGACAGTTTTTTAATTATTGGTGATTTTAAATTACCTGTTGAAGAGTTTGAATATGTATTCACAACTACAATTAATTATAGTATTGGTCTTTTATTATTAAATCGTTCTGGTAGAGTTGCGTTTGTTTGTAGTCAATAAAATGTATAGTTGTTTTTAAAAAGTTGTTTGAATAAAAGTTTTTTATTATAAATATAAAATTTAAAAATATACTTTTAATAATTTATTTTTTTAATTAAAATTATCAAAAAAGTTTTTTGTTAATAATCTTAGTGATATTCTTATTAAATTGTTTCAAATTTTTTTTATAAACAACATGGTAAGTAAATTAATAATGTTGAAAGTTTACAAAAATATTAAGTTGGATGAAAATGTTTTATAATTTCATCAAAGTTGTATATTTGATCAAAAATTAAAAGATATTGAATAAACTTTTATAAATAAGAGTAAAAATTTTAATAAATATACAATTTAATATTTATAAAAGAATAATTAAAAAATCAAGACTTACTAATTTGATAATACATCAAAATTTAAGAATTCAATGATATTATTATGTTTTAAAATATTTTTAGCTTTTAATACCTGTAAAAAAAGTTTAAACAATATTTTTAAATTAAAAAAATAATAGTAAGCAGT